ACATGTAAGCAAAGCATACATTATAGCTACGTTGACGTTACTTTGAATCGCGCGGGTAAGCTAAACCGTTAGCAAGTAACTATAGCTAGCCAGATATATTAAATAAACACTTTGTCATGCAATCTAAATGTTGTGTTTTTTAGCGTTACTTGGTGATTTCAAAGAAAGCTCTCTGGGAAATGTTGACTTACTGTCTGTGTTCGACATGAAGCTAGAAGCTGCCTTACAGTAGTACACAGTTGATCCTGATTCCTGAGTCCTGTCAGTTAAAGTGTTTCATAGTTAGCTTAGCTAAGCATCAACCTAGCACTGAAATATATATATGGATGTTATGTGACAGTATTTCTGAGAAAAGGTCAGCTGAAATGGTGGCATGCCACTGCTTTACGTGTCGACAGCATGTTTGAACGTATTTGCAGCAGTAAATGTGGCTGTCTGGCCACTGACGTTGCCATAACAACACCTGCATTTAAATGTGCAACCTCTTTTTGTGACAGATTTTGCATGAAAATATAATTCTGATTTATATTTTCTATTGACAGCTAGTTTTTATGTGAACATTATGAGATGGACAGCCAGCTAACAAGCTTTTTATACAAATATTTCAGATCAAAGCTAATCCAGTGGGGCTCCTGAAAGGGAGCAAGGGAGACTATGCTCCCAAATATTAAGCCTTGACCCGCATCTTAAAATTGATATGATCTGCATTGTCGGAGGCCTTTTTTCCTCATTATCATGTCAAATTGTACAGCTTTCCTTAGTGTTGAATGCAGAAAGATGACTATATTAGAGTATTAAGTGAAAATGACTATTAAAGTTTTAAGTAAATATATTAAGTGAATTACTTAAACTGCATTTGTATAGGAATGATTATGTCCTATTGGCAGATAACTACTCTAACAGTGATATCTACAAGAGATGTAAATGTAACTATTTTCAATTGGTTAGTATTACATTTTGTGACAGTGTGGTGACACTCATTTTAATGAAGACACATTTGTGTATCTTGAAATTCATTTATTTGACAGAGCTGGAAACTGATTGACTTACATACTTGTTTGTGTTTACCCACAGTCATCACAGATGAGCCAAACAGAGTAGAGGATGAAGAAAGGAGAACAGGAGAAAGGGACACACAAGAAGGAGATACAACAGACAAGAACGACAATGGAGACAACAATGAACAGGAACACCAGAACAGACAAGAGTCAATGAGTAACATGACTGATTTAGGGACTGCAGATAGAGGGCCAAGGCAAGTGAGACATCACTGCTTTCCATCCAGCATGTTTGGCCAGCAAAAGAGATCATTTCAACCGCAAACAGCAAGAGATGAGGGATTATTATTTCCTCCTTCCATCCCTTTTTTCTGTTTAATCTGATTACTAACAACTTCTAATAATTTGACATAGTTTATGATTTAATTGGAAAATTAAGTGTTTTTAAATAATAAACCCGTTTCTGATTCTTTGATTTCTTTTTGATGGGTGTTGAGAGATGTATCCATATCTCTTAATGTTGCTCTCAAAGTGCACAAGATTGATGCTTTTAACTTCAGTATTTAAAAAAAATCTTCCTGGGGGACCCCAGAGGAGGTGAGTTCCCCCCAAAATAGCACTATCTCTGCTTATGTAACTCCGGTGTAGTGTCCCCTCGGCAACAGATCACTCAGAGCTGATTACTTTCCTGCATTTCAATGGACAGCATATAAAAAGGACACGTGAGCTGCATTGCTTAAGAGATCCTCTCATGCTATCTCTTTTACAAAATAAGTGTCCAGTCAACAACAAAACATCAGTGATCGTATAGCTATAGTATATTTTTCACAAGCAATGTGAAACATTAAACTTATACAAACTGGTGTACAAAACTCACATACCTGTGTTGATCTCCTGGAGTGTCTCTACTCTTTCTTGTCCACCATCAGAGATTGCAAACATTTCAGAAACAGCTAGAGGTAGGGGACAAACAACTTGTTCGCTGGGCATGTCAAAAACCTCCCTGCTTTGATCAAGACTTTAGGGAGCCTTTCAGCCCCTCTAGTAAAGGGACTGGAAAGCAAGCTTTGAAAATGCAGTACCATCTGCATGCTGTCATGTTCCAGACACTGCTCTCAACCACTCAGGGCCTGCACAAATACCTGCAGAAAGAAACAATTGACTTGGTGCAGGCAGTGGATTACAAAACAGCAGTTGAGAACACACTGAAAAGTTACCGAAGTAACGAGAAAGCACATGAGGTCTATGACAAGACCAAGGCCCTGTGCAATGATCTTGATATTCCCGAAACTGTGACGCAGAGGAAGAAGCGTAGAAACATGGAATACTTTGTAGTCAAGGCATCATGTGGAGCAATGTGAAATATTAAACATAAATAAACTGGTGTACAAAACTCGCATACCTGCATTTCAATGGACAGCATAAAAGGACTCGTGAGCTGGGTTCTGGTGCTCAGATGAACTCTTGATGATCACGTTGATAAATCATATAAAACAAATAGCCAATCACACTAAAAACATGTTGCTGTGACTGTGAGCATTAAACAATTAACATTAAACTAAACAAACACAACAGTACGTTATTGTCCTTATAAAATAAAAACATACATTTTGTCCACCGAGATAATACAGGAACCTTACCCTCAAGAGATCCTCACGTGCTATGAGAATCTCCCACAATCCATTGCCGTAACAAAGCTTTTTGTTTGTGACACCAGATGGCGCAATTGTGTATGTGCGTGTGGGGAGTCTTGCAGTAGAAAATGTGACTGTAGCGCCGCCACTGTGGGCTAAGCCCCGAATGTTTCCAGGTCCAGGCGACGCCCCTGCCTTCACCCCTCGAGAGTTATCGCTGACTCAGCCATGTTTATGCAGCACTGCACGTGGAGATGTGGACGCACAAGTCGCGCAGATTGCGTACATATAAACCTACAAAGTACTGATATAGTAAATTAAAAAATATTATTATTTTTTGTGTAGTTGTATATTGCAATAATAACGTATGGTTGTCACAAAATCCCACGGCACACCCGGACTTGCCTCACGGCACACCAGTGTGCCGCGGCACACCGTTTGGGAACCACTGATCTAGTGTATTCATACCCCTCACTGTTTATTCATCATTCAATTCATTCTATATTTTATTCTGTCTATTGTGTAGGCTACATTACTTTTCACTTTACTGCTTGTTGCACCTGGTTAGAAGCTAAACTGCATTTCGTTGTCTCAGTACCTGTAATATGTGCAATAACAATAAAGTTGAATCTAATCTTGAGCAGGAACAAATGTATTTACTTAGTACATATCTGACATTAACGATTAAACACGTGTGCATTCTTTATAAATGCAAACCGAGTCAAGCCGACTCCGGAGGTGGCGGTATGCACCTTAAAGTTGTTTGCAATCCGCCAAAAAAACCGAGAGAAGAAGAAGAAGAAGCCGACTCCGAGCTGTCCGACTTCAGGCGAGCTTTTTGAGACCTCCCCCGGCTGCGATCGGCTATTCTCGTCTACTTTCGAGGCGAGCCGCAACACGTCTCAAACAAGCCTACTCTCTGCTAGAAAGTGCCGTTTGGAGGCGGAGGCGGGACCAAACCATTACATGTAAATAGAATGGGCTGTACAGAGGCTTTGGATAATTAACTTTTGGAAGAAAATAAGTTAAATGAATTGTAAGTTTAGTGAGTACATTATCAATATAACGTTATGTTAATTATTGATGAATGATGAAAGGTTACTTACATTTTTTCTTCTTAATGTTCTAAAATAGTTTGGGCTCCCGTGGTGAGGGTGTTTGGAGTGGCCAATAGGGTGGCCAGGATTCAGCTGGGGGTGGCTGGTGGCAGCCACCCCCCAGCTCCGCCACTGCGTGACAGCCGTATTGGTGTGTGGTGCGAAACGGGAGATGTAGTTCATTGAGCGGTTTCACACAAAACAAAGTGTTACTTCATAGTTTTAAGACACATTTTAATTTTTTTGACTTGCAAAATTATCTTAGAAATTGACAAACATCATATGTGTAATTCGTGGGATCGAAAGATAATCTTTCTCTCTCCATTGACTTCAATACATACTTTTTCCGAAATAAGGTCCCATGGAGGTCCCCCGGAAAGGGAGGGACTTCGCCTCTATTATAATCGGGTGTGCCAAATATTTACTTTAACTTACTTTAACAATCAATATATGATCAAAATTGTTCGCAATTATTTTCCTAATAGGCTACCACGTTTAAAATCCTATTCCATTGTTCCAAAAAAACACCTGCAGAGAAATTAGATTTACTGTATATAGACCATATGAAACGTAGTAGCCTCCAATGTATTTACATTGTTTAAAATAATCAACTGTCATCATCACCACTATATGCTTAAGGATCTGATGTGTCAAATGATGATCAGATAATATTTAGACCCCAATTAGCAAATGTATTTTTAAATAAAAAGAGCAGATAATAATTATTGTAATATAAATGCTGATAACCATAAATATTTTTTAAATAAAAAACGTGTTAATGTGATCTTATACTGTTCACGGTTAACATTTCACATGCTTTTTTATGCCTTGCAACAGCAAAATGCCGTCAAATGCAAGGCCGCTACTTCCCCACCCCCTTAACCTGTCTGCCTTTTTTCCCCTACTCCCCACCTGACTTGTAAAGCGACCTTGGGTTTCCTGAAAGGCGCTATAAAAATATTATATATTATTATTATTAATATGTACACTGTAAAAAAGCATACATTTGGGACTTGCTATTCTTTTGCTTACAGTATGTATACATTCATTGCATGACATTTACCTTCAGATGGACTGGTGGACAGCAGTTGTCATCTCAACTGGCTCCTCAGCTCGACTGGCCCCTGAAACTAAAACTTCTTCTTCTACGCCTTTTCGGGACGTCTAGCATAGTAATGACGTTAAAAAGAAATACAAATGATAAGAAATAAGAAAAAGGAATACATAATACTAATTCATATTAAACAGATTAACTCATTGAAGGCACAACGCTTTTTTTAAATTTAATTTATTAAGGTGACAATTTCTATATTACACATCTTTCATGTACATCGGCAATTGAACAGGGAAAAGAAAATATAGTGTTACCATAAACCTCTTATTAAAACCTTTCTTTTTAAAAAAGAACATTTGTTATTGACACCATTTACAACTTGTTTTCATATACAGGAGTGACAGTGGTTTCAGTTGTACATGGAGGGGAAAAAAGGCGGTGAATTATGATTATTCACATATTTATCTGCCAACTCCCTGGGATTTTTATTTGTGTTCGACCCAGATCAAAACCTCACTCTGCATCAGGGGTAACAATCTGAGGCAACGTTTCATTATGATACATTCGTTATATTACACTGACTGTGTCTCAGTAGTTGTTATCCATGCTGAAGTGTCATCAGCATATAGCTTTTCCAAACTGGTGCACTCTCAGAACTCTCGGTTCATCTCTGCCATGACCATTTTGCTAACAAAGGATTTCTGATGCCTGAGAATGGAAATAAGGCTACCTGAAGGCTCATGACAAACACCATCTCACCAAGTTGAAACAAAGAGCCCAGGACTAGATTATTCACATGCTGAGAAGAAAAGGGAGGGATATTTAGTTTTAAAGTGCTCTGCTATGTCACACCAACACCACCTGAGCTAGGGCTGCACAATTTGGAAAAATACCCACTGGCAATTATATTTTCGATATGATTTGCAAGAATTATAAAAATGGTATTACAATTATCACTAAAAGGCTCCTATTATGCTCATTTCAGGTCCATATGTGTATAGTGTGACTCTACTGGACAAGTTTCAATTCTTTAATGTTCAAAAAGGTTTTCTCATACTGCCTGTGCTGCAGCACCTCTTTTCACCCTCTGTCTGAAACCAGAGCCCAGCCTGCTCTGATTAGCTGGCTGGCTCGGTTGTGATTGGTCAACAGCTCGTGATACGAGGATGGTGTGGTTTCTTTAAGAGGATCATACTGAACAATCATTTTAATAGGTCTGTAGAATACTGTTAAGGCCGGGATATATTTTCAGCTTCACTTCATTCAGAATATTTTCAAATATGTTGCCTTAACAGAAATGTATATTATTGCGCTTACTGCAATTTGGATATTGCACTAGTCCATATTGTGATTTTAATAAAAATGTGATGAATTGTGCCGCCCTAACCTTTCTATTTAAAGTGTATTTAACTCACTCTAAATGAGCCACAGCACTCCCTGGATCTCTGTGACTGATCAAATGTGTGACGTCAACCTAACCAAACAGATGTTTGCAGTTTTGTTCCACATCTAGAGGTGTCTTTCCGTCATACACTTCTGTTATTACTGGATAGTTATTGAGATCCAGTTTTATTTAAAATGTGTAAGAATGTCATAAAATTGTTCCTGTTTATTTTGTGGTAGGCTGTTGGGCAATACGTTCATCAATCCCCTTCAAATGCTACATATGCGTTTTCTTGCAATTTCTTGTGGAGTTTTGCAAAGAAAGCATTAAAAATGTCACTTCAGATTTGATCTAAACTAAAAGAAAAAACAAGATTTGGTTTGACTTGCATTTGGTGTTTTCACTTGCTTTCTAAAAATAATAATTTAAACTGACATATTAATTGAAGTACTTCAAACATATTTTAAAATACTTCATTCCCACTAGATTTTTCAGGACCTTGTCTTTAACAAACCCACCCCGTGAATTAAAATAACCCTCTGAAGCTGATTTTAACACGAATAACTTATAAAATACTCCCAGAATTCTCTATAATCCAAGACTCCCCATTCCCGTCACAGCGTTCAAACTCTTTCCCTATAAAACTAGGGTAAGTCTAAGTTCTGTTGTCCACATTTCCCACTACTTTAAAATAATGGAGGCTCCAACACTTTTCACAATCATTAAGCGATTCACAGATCAAATACTATAGAACACAAAAAAAGTGATCTAGTTACACATGTTAGACATGTCGCAAAAATCTCTTTGCAGCACCAAGATTGTCTGTTATTTAAGCATTAATTTGGGGCACTTTAAAAAATAAACTACGACATAGCAATCATTTTATATGGTCACAAAAAAAATCACTTAAGTCATGAGTGAAAGTGAGAGAGATTTCAGGATGTGATCAAAGTCACTGTTTGTCATCATTTTAAATGTGGACACGATAAACAATCTTAGGGCAACAACGTCTGCTTTTTGGTGAAAGGGCACAACGAGTAGGATTTTTCCAAAATGTACAGATTGTAGAACAATTAATCCTCTAAATCCTCACTTCAGAAGTGTGTGGATCAGGAACAGAGACGTGGATTTTCTCTTCTTTTTGCCGTTATTTGTCCGTTTGTCGGCAACTTCTACCATAAAAATGTAGCGACCAAGGTGCTAGATTGTAAGCATTGATTTAGGAAAACAACGCAGACATAGTGCCAGGAAAATGTCAACGACGTGCAGAATAAACTTCCTTCCAAAACGAAATTGAATCTGGGGATAGCTTCTATCTGCTAGCAAGCACCGTCACCCTCGTTTAGCTGACTCTAAATGTGTTCAAAAAAAATAGTAATTGAACAAATCCTACTCATTGTGCCTTCAACCCTGTTAAAGAAAAAGCACACCCTCTCAATCTTATCTTAAAATAAACACTTTAGGAATTAAATCACGATCAAAGTCACCGTTGCGAGACTCTACTTTAAGAACCTGTGCCCTTTCTGGTTTTAAGATTTCTACGATGCCCCCCGTTGCTCGCCGTTACATGATGTGAGGAGGGGGAAATCCTGCAGATTTCATGGAGGGTGCGTTTTCAGGATCCCATGCATAATTTGCCGCACATCCTGAGAGATGGGAGCAGCTTCAGGTTCAGAAGAATACAACATTTTTCAGGTACCTATCGAGCATCGAGAGGCCTGCCGCGAGCAGAGAAGACCATAATCCCAGCTCCGTAGCAACAGCATGCAGGCGACGGTCTCACACACGCACCCGAAGGAGTAGCAAACGAGTGTGTGCGTGCATGCTTGAGTAGAATGAAAACACCCGCTTTTTCTGAAGGGGCTCCCTGATTTGAACACTGTTTTCCTTCAGAGTCCTGCACCCTCTATCAAACGCCTCCTGATTCCTTTCACTCCTGTCCGAAGCCTTCCGTCTCCTCGATGGCAAACAGCAGCTTCTCCTTCATTTGCTCGTAGCTCTTGTATGGCGGCAAGTCCAGTCTGTTGAAGCTGGGAAAATAAAGTAAACAAAATATATATATTAACTGTATATCAGCTTGGCATTGGCCTGATCCCCAGACGGTGATTATTCAAAGTAAGAGCGGAATGAGCATCGTACAAGACTCTGAAAGAATACTCATTAATCCTTGGGCTATGAGGTCAATGTTTGTAGCTGATCCCCAGTAAAACAACTTACCAAGCTAAGAGACCAAACTAAAGGGGGTAACAATACAAATTCTTACAATGAACTGCTACAAACAGGCTTAGTTGACCACACAATTAGGCTAAACATCATCAGATTGGTTCTCTACAGTTCAGTTCGACCTAAAACAGGAGCATTGAAGTGTTGATCATTTGGATGAAGGAAAATAACGACTCCCTACCTCTGAAGTGGTCACAAAGTCCAAACATGTCTCCATGCCTGGGTTCTTTATACTCCTTAAGTCCATAAGAGTGGTTCATTTACATCCACCGACAACATTTTTGGAATAATGTCATGTGATCTCTATCGCTGCCTGTCGGATGCACTTTAACTGAAAACAAATATACTTTCTACACTCTGTTGTTGGTAGCTTGTGCTCATCACCTTGAGAGATGCAAAATAAAAATGTCACCACCTTTTTTCTCTTTAGTTTGGACTATCAGGTATGAACATTTGTATTTGTTACCGTTTGAAGAGGATAAAGAAATGGGTTGCATCACTAGGTTCACTGCTTTAAATACATTTTTGATAGTATGTTGTAGCTTTGTGTAAAATGTATTGAAAGGGTCTATGACATGTTTTGCTAAGTAACAATATGGCCTCTAGGTTTGATTCACCCCGAGTCAATCTGCTGCAGGTTCTTGTGAAGTGTGCATGAACTCACCACGTGTGACTTCTGGGAAGCCAGTTTTCTTTTCCCACCTTCTCGATACAGAACTTCTGGGGACCATTGCTTCCTGAAAAGTAAAAGTAAAAGTTTATTTAGTTAAATATATACACAAGAAACTGGGACCAACACAGTGAGATCTCACCGATACCTAGCTTTACAATCTTAGTTAGAAACGTATGTAAAAAGCTAAAACTAAAGAAAGTCATATTGATGTTTTTACCCATAAGGTCGGCAAAGCCTCCTACAGGCAGGCGACAGGTTCCTGTGACAAACTGCAGCAGCCTCATCCTCTTCTCGTTGTCCGCCTCCTTTATGAACTGTGGGACAAGAGGCAGGCTGGTTAAAACACTGAAAGGTCCAGGAAAACGTATACAATCACACATTAGACATACATCAATTATTCATTGTATAAACAGAAAGGACGGGTTTCGGTATTCTTTCTTGTTTTTCACCAATAATGAACAGAGAGATTAAACATAAACCAAAAAGGTAAACCACCTCACTGCTGATTGATTTGCTTCAATGCAATGATTTCAAAACACAATACCAACCAGAAAAATAGAAAATTAGGCTTTTAGCACAACACGTTTTTGGACTGATACAATTTCTTACAGAGGTAAGGTGCAAGGTTTTTTTCTTCTTCAAAAATGTATATACATGGTCATAAATCCCTCAAGATGACAATATTAAGAATCTAAAACCACGCAAAAATCCATTGACATTTGACAATACGAGATTACAGTGAGAATCGCATTTTTTGGGCGAAACCCCCAGATTATCATCTTATCAATATATCTAGGAAAGCCCTCAGTCTATGGTTTGCAGTTGTAAAGTTTCATAAGGCTGTCATTATCCTAAAGGTCACAACAGGTCATTTTATTAAGTGAGGTCAGTTTACAAAAAATTGGATAACATTGCATCGTGAATAAAGTCAGCATTCCTGTCATACCAAAGATATGCAATGCCAAGAATGTGAAGTGACCCTAGTATGCACAAATATACAAATGTACCATTTTAAATGAGGTGAAAACAATGCATTTGTGCATGATGCCCATTTCTCTGCAGTTATTTTGCTTGAAAACGGCCCCTATGGATCTTTCTCCGTACATTACGTTAATAATAAAGTTTACTAGGTGAATGCTGACCTGCCAGAACCAGACAATCTGTTTGCTGCTGCGAGCGTAGTGTCTGTAGATGGTGTTTCTCTGCCAGTCTGCCAGGTCGATCTCCTGCATACCACACAGCATCACCTGCAACAGAAAACATGTTATTTACATACAAATATTTGTTTATTAATCTAAAAAATGACTTTGAAACCAGCTTGCATTTCTTGCAGCACTATCAGGTAAAGAATAAGAGTGCCATGTTGTTCTCTACCTCGAGCTCTTTAGCATCGAAGTACTGCAGGTACTGCTGAGGGAGGACCTCGTTGAAGCCTTCAAAGAAAGCCTGAGTCTGCTCCTCCACCCCTCGGGACAGCCTCCACTCTGCTACCAGCCTGTGGGGGGGGGGGGCGGAGGCACACACACATGTTACACTCCACTTCATCAAGTCAGAAACACTGCAAAGTGGTCTACAGTAAAACCCTCCAGACATTATATCTGAGTGACTTATGAGTGAAATGATCAGTTATCCACCTGATGTACTCCTCCTTGTTCTCCTCCGTCACCTGGAGCTCTCCTCCGTCTGGCTTCAGCTCATGGGTGGAGACTTCCCCCAGGATCTCTTTGTCCACGGAGAAGAACATCTCCAGCCCGCACTCCTCGATGTTGTTATCCCTAAGAAGTTAACACACTCTGATCATTCATATGATTTTGGAGATGAAACACCAGATTATGTTTAAAAATCTGTTCATTTTGTATCCAGATACGAGGATATCCATAACCTTGAAAATCTATTAATATTAAGCATTTTCAAAACTTTAAAGACTTTGCATGAAAGCTAATACTTTAACCACACTTGGGACTTTGTTGTTGTTCCAATTAATCTCACTGAACATGATTTATTAATCAAATGTATTAGATTGCATTGGTCTAATATGTGTTCTATCAGCATCACTGCAGACTCTTTGATTTGGTAGGAAATGGTGCATTTTGTATTGGTTTCATAGAATTCAAATAACTTGAGCTCTTCTTGTTCTACATGTTCTTATTCCATCAATAAGAACATACTAATATTAAAATCCCACCGGTCAATATTGAGGTTAAAACGGACTTTTCTGGGTAAAACACGTGTTCTGGTTGTGAAAACTTGTCCGTTTTTTTGTTGAGAGTTTTTCCTTCAACAACCCGACCGGATTGTGTGTGTTTGAGTTGTCTGCTTTTATTGTCCATGAAGTTTAACTGACATTGAGATATAGCTGCTCTGATTAATTAAACACAAATATTCTATGAGATTGCTTAATCATTGTCCTTTCAGGTTTGTTTTATGCCCTTACATTTCTACAAATAGCTGTATTATTGTATAGTCTGACTCATTTAGCAGACTTGCCTCAGACACTCTGAAAGGCTTATGATTCAACCTGGATTAACCGTAGATTGTGTGACCAATGGACCTTCTGAGCCAGTCTGACATCACAAAATAAAATCATCCACAAACACAAAGAGTACATTCAACAAGATGCTGAAAACTAGTCAAGGGTGTCCGATACATTCAGAGTGTTCATCTAAAAAGTCGACTCAAACTCACTTGATCCACATGAGCGAGTTGTAAAACTCCGGGTCGATCGACTCCAGGTCTTTGAGGGCCAGGGGCTTGTTGAGCATGCGCTTGTAGAATGGCAGTGAGAAACCAGTGTCGATGAATTTGCCGTGGAAAAGAGCCTGACGGACAGAAACACACTTTGCTTTCTTTCTGGAATCTGAACAGTACAAAACTCTAAAACTATGAACTAATGCATTAGCCGTTAGCTGGTATTTACCGGACTTTGACCAACAAATCTGTTGAAGTCCAACACGTTAAAATGTGTCATATTGTCCAGTGGAAAAAATCCCCCCCCAAGCACAATTTGAAGTATATGTCCTTATTTTTTGTAAGGTTTAAAGCTGAGGTAGATAGTTAACAATACTGGTGTTTGTGTTTTTTTTTCTGGAGTCTATTGACAGGACTTTCCCCCATTTGTCCGTGACAAATCTTCCTGGACACAATGACCGGCACAACGCATAAAGCGCGACTCACCATGGCAATGAAGCGTCCGATGAACTTGAAATACTTGAGGTGGTCAGGGTTGATGTAGGAGGCGGGGTTAATCTGGAGACAGTAGTTATCTTTTCCGGCATATTCAAACAGGCAGTACATGGGGTTCAAAACTTCATGGGACAACAGGAAGAACCACTCCCTGCAAGAGAAGAGAGCAGAATTATAAGAAAGGGACAGACTCAAACCAGACAGGCAACACCATCATTTATCAAAATGATTATTGAGAGGAGGACCAAGTCAACTGCAATCAAAATAACTTTCTTAAAGCACCATTTTTGTCACTACTCAGGATTACATATTCACAACTATCTAATTTACCTGGCAACGCCTCCGTAGTCAAGGCCTTCTTCTCCAGGGAAGATGATCCAAAGTCTCCTTCGTAGATCTTGAGCATTGAAGCTCATAATCTAAAATAGAGACAATGAATTTAGAGATTGGTGATGGAGTGAGTATTATAAAACAGTAGCCTTCAAGAGCCAAGAGCAGTCTCAACAACAATTGATAGAGAGCAGATTATTGATCATAAAAATGATCGTAAGTGTAAAAGCAAAACTTCTTGTAGTAACGTAAACTTTGTGTGTCATGTTTGGGACACTTTACCTGCTGGAAGGAGTCCTCAAACAGGGTTTTCCTGGTTACGCTGATCTTGATGTGTTGAGGCATTGACAGTTGCTGGGGAGAAGGGGAAATATCAGAAGCATTCATCAAACATGATTTCTTTGTGACATGGCAACACATACTGTTACTGCACAGTGTATAAGAAACATAATAAAGGACTGCATTGAGCAATAGTATGTATGACAAGACTCAAAGGACCAACAATCAGAATACTTTTTTCATTATGGGGAATCAAATTGGGTTTTGTGACAGTTGTTCGATTTTAGAAATGAAAAACCACATACAAAAATAGAATAAATACATCAATAAAACATAAGAAGTTTAAGTAAAGATGAGCAATCAAACGATTTTATAAAATGAAATAAATATATTTGTATAAACAAAAGTAGTTAAAGTAAAATGTCCCAAAAAGATAAGATAAAATTGAATAAAAGTATTTATAGAAACAAAAGAAGTCAAAGTGAAAATGTGCAATAAAATATAAAATAATCTTTATATAAAACAACAAATTCAAGTAAATGCCTAAAACAAGATAAACATAATTAAATAATTATATTTATTTAAACACAAGAAGTTAAGGCAAAATTTAAAAAAGATAAAATAGGGTTATTCACATTAACTAAAGAAGCTAAAAGTTCAAATGTGCAATATAAAGATCAAACTAAATAAAAATCTCAACATAATAAAATTAAGGTAAAATGTCAAACAAAAAGATAAACATAATAAATTGAGATATTTATATAAACATCAGAACGTAACGCAAAATGCCCAAAATGTTCATAGAAATCCAATACAAATGTTTAGATAAACAAGACGTTATCCTAAAAATATCCAAAATGCACTACAAAATAATAATTACAAATACATTATCATATTCTAAATAAGGCATACATTTACCAATGCTTATTTTACAGCTGGAAAAGAAAATATGGGCCCAAAGAAGAACTTCACTTCGTGCACGGTTACGACCCTTACCTGGCACCAGAATCTGAAGTACTGTACTTTGGCTTTAAAGTCTCGAACGTAGGTGATCTGAGGTCCGTTTTCACTGTGAAGGCAAAGAAGACAGAAGATTCTGAGTGTCCTTTTACCTTAAAGCTGAAGCGTATATTTCTTGCCATTTTCCCTTGTTGTTCGATTGTTATCTGCTCCAAGGAGGTTTTGTTTTGGCCTAGTTTGTTCGTCAGATTTTCAGCAGAAAAAATACTTTAGACATTTGTAATGAAACTTGGTGGAAGGATGTAACGTGTGTTGAGGAAACATTTTCCTAGGCCTCTGCCTTTCACCCAGTGTATCACTCTACTCCTATAGTCAGCGTTCAGGCATGCGACCTCTGTTGCCACTTTCTCTCTTCCCTTGAGAATAGTTGTGTCTAGAACTAGATAAATACTTGGGATTTGGTATTAGAGTCTGCCATCAAGTCGAGCTCTCCTGTGTTCCTTTTGTGTTTCGAGTCCTTGATCCAGAACTTTCCATCACAATGTGCGCCAAGGACGGACGCAATCACACATTGAAAACACATGGCTTTTATCTCACTTTTGTTACCATCGCGAGATTTGTCATTTGGCCTAGGTGTACGTCTGAGCTGTCATAGGGACCTTCTTGTTAAACAAATTATAATAACACACAAAACCTAAGTGTGAATATATTAAAGCTTAATGGGCCAGTGTGTTGATATCCTGTCAGTTCATATTGTCACATTGACCCAACTGTTTGTTCCACACGTGTAAACAAAGCATTCACTCTCAAGTCCTGTTATGCTCAGGACTTATAATCATGACTCAACTGAGGGGTTACATCTGAAAGGATAACACGTCAGGATAATGCGTAACAAGTGGTAAAAATAGAAGGAGGATTTCAGAGACGGTGAATCATTTAGTCAAAGATCTGTGTAAACAGTACTATCTGGTAGAATAGAGCTGCCTGGTGATGTATTTTCAATAATGTGAAAAGCATATACAGGCATAATATTTTGGGTTGGAAAAAAAACCATTAGGTAAATATTTTGACTTCTTTGTAACTCATTCATTTATGGTATGCAGATGAGCTGGAAAGACCAAAGCCAGAATGTTACCGACTAAATGCATCCAAGAAGGCCCTACTAGTATAAATGATTTACTTTATCACCTAAAAAATAAAACATTCCCTCTATAATCCGGGAAGGTATTTCATGACACTGATGTTCACTAAACATTTTTTATCTGTGTCGACCTGTTAGAGATTTCCTAATAACTCAGAATGTCTTTGGAATACAGGAAACAGGAGTACTCTGTCAAACAGGTCTGATGCATTACTCTAGTTGTCAGGGAACAACACGAATCTGCAAGCTCATATCATTTATTTTAACCATCCCACTGTGCCTTGGCACGATCTGCTTTATGATTTACTGAGACAAAGACCTTGAAGAGCGTTGTTGAGGAATTATTCGGCAAACAACCAAACCGGTTGCAGCTGATGTGAAACTTTCTGTTGAGGCCGCTAATGCGTAATTGTTAAACTAACTGGAATGTGTATTTTTCGCACCAAAAAAGATGATCAGATGCAATTAAAGCTCTTTTTTGTTTAAAAAACATGTGTTGTCCTTACTTCCAACAGCGTTAGGCAAAAGCTCAATATACCAACTGTAGAAAACGTGGGGTACAGCGTTTAGTTGCTCGAAATGGTTAAAAGTCCATCAGACGCATTTTGGTTGCTGCCTGGGAATTCGAAAAACTGAACTGAGAAGTATCACATGCAACTATTTGTTGTTTGCTAGCCACAGATCTTATTTTCTGTAATATTCCAAAATCTCATTGTTGCAGAAGACGCTTACTTCCAAGCTGGACAACAAAAATGTGCCATCACTGCACAACTTTTTGGTTAATGTTTAAGTCTGAATATTTTTAAACAAGGTAGGAGAAACAACACGGCAGAGGACTTACAGTGAGGACTTTCCAGTGCGAGGGTCGATGTACGTGGTCGCTCTCCTGTTGTGGTCCACGAAGTAGGGAATACCGTCTACAGTGAACCTCATCTCCCAGCCCTCAGGGAGAGGCTTGTCATTCAGCAAACTGAAAAAACAAGATCAACCTTTAGTGATAGACCCTTTCATAAAAAACTAAAATAATGCAGCAAACTAAAGTTGGTCACATACAACTGGTGCTACATGCACTATATTATCATTTTCATCTAAAATGGTTTTAAATATGAATACTAACCCCTGTGTTCGTGGGTCCTCCCACTGTGTTGCTCGCGTAGGGTGATGTACAAAATAAACTCTGCCAGTGGAGTCTGTTCTCTTCTCTGAAAGGACACATTAACAAAAAGACAAACATTGGAAGAATTAGTTACTATTATTATCAATGTGTATACCATCAAAGCACTGACGGCAATTTAGGGTTCCTTCTCAATTTTAAAACAATCTTTAAATTCAAAATATGTAATGGTGTGCCGCTAGGGGTTTCAATAAAATAGTTTTAGATTAGAAATCTGTGTTTCGCCGATGAAGTTGCAACTTATGTTGTCAGGTAGTGTCTCTGATAATGTAGGATCCAGACGTTCAAATTAACACGGTGAGTAAAACTGGTAAAAACACTTAATAAGTTTCATGTTCAAAATCATTCTTGATTCCAATATGATCTCTTTTGGGCTAACTTAAAATCAAAACATCCAATGATTCAAATCCATCACAGTTACATACGATATATAGTTAAAAACAACCCCTATCAAAACATTGTAGTGTAAAAATGTGGCTGAAAACGTAATAAAAAAAGTCTAATTATTACAGCTTCTGGCAGACTACAAAACTGAAGCATGAGCAAAGGAGAGATTCCTCTTGGTTTGAAACATATCTGGTGTAATGTCAATACACAACTCAACAAAATATACATGATTCCAATTGTTTTAAGAAGTTTTTGGCAAAAGTGTTACAAATTATACATTTAAAAGTCCTTCAACTAAATAATTTGCGAGACGTTTGCGTATGGATGGATTTCTTGTTCTCCCCTGTCTGTATTCAACCTTAACCTATGTTCTATAGCCACCACTCAAAATCATCACTGCTCTGAATGGTATTTCATTTCATATTTAATGGTTGAATTGGTATATCATCATTTGAAGTGAGATGTGACTACTCTTCTGGTACAACAAGGTACACCCTCCTGCGTTGTGTTGTTATGAATATTGTATCAAGTGAACGCGTCTGCAATAACAAAGGATAAGGCCCCATCCAACAGGCGCCAGAAGAGGATGATTAAATATTGAAATAAATCAGAGTGGACTTCAGATTTAGCAGATGTCTTATTGTTTTTTGCTTGGTGAGTGTTAGGATTCATTATGGGAAGCTTCTTTTCTTAAACAACAAGCTGTAAAATAATAAAAAATGTAAGTTCTTTTGAAACACATTAGTACATTTTGATAGATGAGAGGCTCAGCTAGATGGTGCTAGCTAACTGAATGGTGCATATTTACTGTCCTAAGCCGGTGTATTTAAATTGAAAAAGCTTTAAAAGATCTTACCCCATCCGTGTGGCAGAGGCCCGAGAGGATCAAACTCCTTATTCTGAGTGGCTGAGACCTGCTCTTGTAGCTGCACAGCAGAGAGAAAGAATATTTTGTATAAATCTCAAAGCATCTTAAAGACATCTACAATATTTTGCGTTTTGATGCGGAAAATAAAGTGACTTCACATAAAGAAAATAACATAAGGGGTTAAATATCAGTAACATTTTAAACCCAGTTGGTTGTTTAACAAGCGGTAGTGTTTGTAATTAACCTTACGTCACAAACATAAACCTAACATCAGCATTAGCTGAATTTCCAGTAAAAACATCTCAATTTTGCAAACTCGTGGAGGTGACATATTATTTATTTTTTTATCACAGGACAACAAGTATGCTGCTCAAAGAAGAAGAAGGAGAAGTAGAAGGACATATGTGCATAAAGACATGTACAAATGAGTTATTATTGGAGGTTGCTGGAGGCGGCAGTGTTCAGGCGCTTTGTAACTGGTCAGATTGGGAGTTGAACCGTCAACCCTACAGTTCCAAAGCCAAGATTCTACAGGCTGAACCGGCACTAGTCGAGCTAATACAAACCTATATTACCACATTGTATCACGAGACAAAGAGGAAGTCCTCACCCCGAATATGAACCTCTGGTTGAACTGCTGCATGGCCCCCTGCAGCTGGCTGCGCTGGTGCTGCCACTGCTCATAGTTACGCACCGTCTCCATGGTGGGGCGCTGCCACGTGGTGGTCCGGGTCATGTGATCGACAAAGTAGACCCGCCCCATCTGGTCGACACGACGCTCCCAGCTGAGGACGGATACATCGAGGGAACACAGCAGGAGAAAAGTGAGCATGGGTAAAAACAGAAGACTCTCAAAGTCATTCTGCCCCATTGAAACCATGTCACACATTGAAGAGGAAGAGAGCAAACGTGTTAAGAAAGACAATATGCAGACACCCTACCAGTACAATGGGGTGTATGGAAAAAGCGTGGATAAATAAATGCGTCAAGGCTTCAGATTAAAGTAAATAATCAATGTGGTACATGAACATGGCATAGGACGTAGCCACATGCTGCTCTCAGCAAATTAACTTAAGACAGCCCAGATAGAGATCAGAGTCAGTATAGTGTTACACTGCACTGATATGTAGGATTTGATGACTTGTCAGGACAAACAGCATTGACAAACTACGTGTGAAATAAAAAAATGTATGGCAGTTAAAGTTACCCTGTAGCGATTTCTGACAAAGTCCCTAAACTCTGAAAACACTTACAATGACTAGTTTTTGAATATTATTATTAAATACACATTTATTCCATCTCTTCTGTCTTCGTCACACAATCGGTCCTGATTAAATGCTTTCTGTCTGCCAGCATCAGTTAAGTCTGAATTGTAATGATGAGATGTGGCAAAAAAAAACATTGTTCGATGATTTCTTTGAGAAGTCGTCCAAGCTGTAATGAATTGCGCTTTGTGTAATTTTCTAAGGGTCTCTCATCTCTCATTCAAAACAATAACGAAAGATGGAGTTTGGTGGCGTTTTGATGTAGCAAGAGATAATGAAAAGTCAGCTTCTCCAGGAGGTTTTTAATTGCAGCTGAATTATTCGCACGCCCCCTCCTCTCCAAATCAAACAAATTAAAAACGGGTTAAATGCTTCAAGCAGTTGCACATTAATAATTGCTGTTTTTTAGCTATGCTTTTTTCTCTGATCATTTATGATCCAGGTGTACGACAGCTAAAATGCATCATCCTGTTCGAGTATATAGATAAAAACGCCCAAGATCTCAAAAGTGTTGAATAAAAGCGAGGCTTAAAACGAGTATTTCTTACAAATGTTGGAAACATTTGGGATGAAGATCTTAAAACTAGGCATGAGCCAGTGTTACGATTGAGAGACCCCTTCATTTAAAAGTTCCTTTCCGATGAAAATAATCCAATAAACTCCAGACAAAACAACAATCTGTCATTAAAAGAAAATGTAAAGGGAAGGACTTTTTACCCAGGGGGCAGTGGTTCAGGGCGTTCCCACGCCGTTCTCTTTTCCACGTGATCGACAAAATACACCCTGCCGTTCTGATCCACCCTCTGCTCCCACCTAGATTAAACATGGCAATAAGATGGAGGATATTAGGTAATGGTGCACAGCCCCGGCCGTTAAGGTGATGGATGGATGTAAACACATTCACAACATGAGTCAACCTAATACAAAAGCAGCAGCTAGCCGGTGAAGGTTATGATGTTGTCACAATGACGCACTAAAAGAGCTCTAAAGAGAATTTGCGGAATTACAGGCTGAATGAAACCCAATAGAGAAACAAGAAAAAGATCTTAAACAAACAAACAGGTATTCCGACAATCCTCACACTCCGAGATTCTCTTTGTCCACACAGGAAATATGAAATGCTCAATAAACTGTGCCTCATGTATAAAGTTGTCTAGCACTATAATACTACTATTGCACAATACACTTGCATACATTAATATCGTTTTAACTTGACTTTGACCCTAACCTTCCCAAGTTCTTCTGCAAAGATTATTAAAGATGGCTCACCCTGGGGGCAGGGGCCCGGTGCTGACAGCGGGGACACTCGGAGTGACAGCAGGGGTGACGCTGCTGGCCGGCTGTCTGGGGGCCGCAGCCCCGGAGCTGGAGGCCGCTACCCCGGAGCTGGGGGCAGCAGCCCCGGAGCTGGGGGCCGCTGTAGAGTTCCTCTCCGAGCCCGCCGATGGACTTGATCCAGGGGCCGGTGAGGGTCCTGGGGCAGGTGAGGGTCCTGGTGCAGGTGAGGGTCCTGGTGCAGGTGAGGGTCCTGGTGCCGGAGAAGGTCCTGAAGCCGGGGTTCGAACCGGTGTGTCAGAACCCGACTGACAGTCACTGCCGTCAGCTGTTGCAGAGCCATTACTAGAGGATGCTGAGGAAAGAATCAGACATTGCAGAGAGTTAAATCCTAAGACTATGATGGCTGATAGGGTGGTGCAGTGATGACGTATATATGTTTGCCGACCCGGAAGTTAGCTTTTCAAGTTCTCCCTCGACAAAAGCCATTGGGATCTTTCCATTGGATTTAATAGCAAAATAAGATCTGTGGCAAACACATGTTTATTATACTTACACGTTGTGTTCAGCAGGATATTCTCCACATATTACCATTAATGTAATGTCTTATACCAAATACCACTTTTATAATTATTACGGTGTAAATGCAATCGGGAGAAGTAAAAAGCTAATTTACTAAGTTATTGAATGTCATTGACTCTTTTTAAGGCAGCTAACCAGGAACGCATTAAAAAAAAACATTGTTTTTGAGATAATAAAACCCGGAAGAGCTTAAATGCTAACTCATTTCCGGGTTTAAGATTTACTTATGTACCATTATTTTGCAGATAAACCGGAACAATAGAACAAAAACACAAATGTTCAGCAAAGTGGGCTGAGGATCTATTGTTCCCTTCACAGACACATTGCCGCCATATTGTTTGTGCTATTCCTCAGTGTTGCCTTGTGTGACTCAGCTACAGCAAATGTTTCCTCATGTTTGTGAGTGTTGGCCCAACTCCAATTTAGCTAGCGGGTAAATGTTTGACATCAATTATTATGTGACACACTACACAGTCAGGAAGAAGAACACTCAACCTTTGCTCAATAAAGTTCCTCAATAAATGTCTGACCTGGTGAAGAGGCGGGTCTGCGCGGGGTTGGAGGAGGAGGTCTGGAGGGCCGGGGGGGTCGAAGAGGCCTCGAGCCCCCTGAGGACACAGAGGGAGACCCCGCGCTGTGCACCGACCTCCGCCCGCTGGGAGAAGACCTGTGCTCGACACCGTCCACGCTCACAGCAGGGGAGCTGTCTCGACTCCGCCTGGGAGCAGGAAGAGCACACAGAGATTAATACAAATATCAGAAACTCTAAATGGTGACACGTTAAGATCAACTGACGACAGGAGAAGCTACTGCACCTTGTGACATGATCCCCATTGGGTTGGGAATCCCCGTTTGATGTACCTGGAGTAAAAACACACAACATTCACATTTTATTCATAAAGCCCATTATTACACATTTTGCCCAAGGGGTCTTTAAGCAGAAGTTCATGATAATAAAACTAGAAATTGTTTATCTTGTATATATTTTTTTATCATTTCTGGCTTTGCTATGCATATGGAATAGATTTTGGCAAGCATGTAGAAATAATAAAAACACTCCCATCCTCAGGGAATAAAATGTCCCTTTTAGAACCCATGGATTCCCCCTATTCCTTCTAAACACAACCAAGACATTATTTGGCATTTCTAAAATACATTATTTGGCATTTCTACAAAACATTTAGAAATGGGCTCATTACTTACTTTCCTGACATTTTTGACTAAATGCGTGGATTTTAATTACTTTTTCTCACAACAAATAAAGCTACATTTGAGAATATTCTAACAGGCTTTGGCTCTGTGACTCACTGTGATGGTCGGCCTCTGCCGTGGCGAACATCTCGGGGTCGACAGTCATTCCGTCCAGGCAGACGGAGAGGTCTCCCACCACATCGGACTGGTCTCTGTCTGCACACAGCTGTAAGGTCTGCACCACCTCAGAAACTACACAGAGACCACACAAACACAAGATGGTCCGAGTGAGACGATGGCAAGTGAAATATTACGCCTGCTATAATGATGCAGGCGTAACTTGAGAAAAGGTGCATTCTCCGACAGTAGGTAATGCCGTGTACAAATAGATTGTTAACATTAGGAATTAATGTGTAGGTAAGTTACCCATGGGTTGACATCCTAGCAACGTGGGGACCACAACGAATACCAACTTTATTATATATGTTATTGTCATCAGTTGGGAGCAATTCAATTTTAAATTATAATAAATTAGAAAAATCATGGTCAGTGATGCGATTTTAGTCCTTACTAAATGTTTGTATGATACCAAATGTCAAATGACAAATTATTTATTATAACAGTTATGTGAATAAGTTAATAAGAACCCAGAGCTCTTTCTTAAACACACCTGGACAGGGTCTAAGAATAAAACATAACCTAATATCTACCATTGCAAAAGGGATGACAAAAATCAGCTGCCTATTACAGGAATGTTAAGTGCCTTATTCATATACTTTTTGCTCTAAAAAAAAGTCAGGTAAACCACGTGTCGGCATTAAAACACTTTCTGTATTTAAGGGTTCACTCGTTACAAAAGAAGCCTCAACAGCATCAAATGTTTTCATTCAAATTGAAATGCACTTTCTACATTTTGTCATCTACCACATCAGATAGATCCCCGACAGGCCTTTGCCAAGACCTCTCGTGTTCATTCTTCGTTTGTGAAATAAATGAAAGAGGAAGCGGGTAGCTGGTTGTAGCCTCATTCTCAGGAAAACAAAGGAAACACTGAGATAAACCAGAACACGCACTGTTTAGCATCAAAGTTGTTGAATGAATGCCTATGGGATTCTTTGATCAATGTGTGTCTGATTACACATTTCTAAAGATAACAACATTAGGGATGTCATGGGAACCGATAGGTGCAAAAGGGTACATTATAACACTTTCATGATCTGTTAACTGAGAAACCAGAATAAATACACCTGTTGGAAAGACATGATTCCCACTCACTTTTCATTTCGTTAGACTTGAGCGTGTCACTGACGTTCAGTGTGGCCATGCCCAGCAACACGTCGGACTTCAGGGTCTGGTGGCTCCACACACGGAACACCAGTTTGCTGAACGGAGTCACAATCCTGTAGAAATAAACGGTTCAATTCATTCGAGCAATGCATCGATACTAACGGAGGATTTGATTTCAGAAAGCCCTGTAGGGGCTTACTATCAGGACTTCACCGACAATCAGTTTCAAGCTGAGAGGCCTTTCACTGAGCAGCACTATTTCTCTCTTTTTGGCGAGATACTGCTAGTCCCTTAACAACAGCTTACAAAATTATATTCATCTCACAGCTTTCGCCACCATCCCATTTTAAAGGCATTTACTTTAAAGGGGCCCTATTATGCTTTAGGGTTTTCCCTTTCCTGTAGTGTGTTGTATAGATTTGGTGTAGTAAATAGTCTGCAAAGTCCTACAGTTCCGTCCAGAGGGAGTTTCTCTCCCACACACTTCCTCCCCTGCCTGAAACGCATTGATTGGACTTTTTTTAACTTCCGTAACAAAATAAAATAGGCTGATAGGCTAAGGGGCAGGACATCTCAGGCGGTAACCCAATCAAAACAGAGCCGGCCAGCTAACCAATCAGAGCAGACTGTGCTCTGGTTTCAGACAGAGGGTGAGAAGAGGTGCTGCAGCACAGGCAGTATGAGAAAAATAAAGACTGTTTTGAACATTAAAGCATGCAAACGTGTCACTGTAGATCAGTGTTTCTCAAACTTTTTCATACCAAGGACCACTTAACCAATAAAAAAAACACTCGCGGACCACCTAACTCCACAAATATCCAAAAACACATCGTTTTTCTAGAACAGATTACAAATCGTCTGAAAATGGTATAAACAAGTGGCAACATGTGTGATGAAGGTGTTGCACTGGGCTATATCATGCAATCGAAAGTGAAACTTAAGCTCGCTCCATTGCGGAGATATTCCTGCGAGAGTGCGGAAAACTTAAATGTATTTATTTATTTCAAATGTGAAATGTTACCAATATACTCACGGACCACTAGGGGGCGCTCACGGGCCACCAGTGCTTCTCACACTTCGAGAAGCACTGCTGTTGAGGCACAAAATACAAATATTCACCTGAAATAAGCATAAAAGGACCCCTTTAATGTAAATAACTTATTTCTTTCCTCATAACTTAGCCAGACTTCCCACTTTCATTACTATCTATATTCTAAAGGTAATCACAGAGGAGTTAGTTCATGTATCATTTATAGCCTGGTCGGGTCAGGTCTGATTACATCCCATAGTAAACACTTGTTACACAATAAGTAGGCCACCTTGGAGTACTCTATATTGGGAAGGTCAGAAGATCCTTGAAAGGCTAAAATTAAGAGGACATGATGTGTGAATATGTAGGACTGTATATACATACACACTCTCACCACTGTGAGGCATTTTACGTTTAAGTGCAAACCACTTACAGATAGCATATCTATCTTTTAAACTGTACACACTATTATCCTGAACTCGACATTTTAACTACAGAGAAAAAAGTACTTCCTGAATTCCTAGTGACTCACTGGAAAAGAAAACTGCTGCAGGCCCAGCATCTCGATCGAAATCATATGTTACACCGGCAATTTCATGCAATAATAAGGGAGTCTGCGTTTGTATGCTTTGGAGAAACTCTTCAAGGTCTGGGCAGATTTTCTGAGGAAGTGATGATGAGCAAAGCCAAAATACTTCAGTCAGCAGTCATGTATCAAGATATAGTTGTTCAGAAATGCTAAACGGGAAACAATGGTTTCGCAATCCCTTCTTTTAAACAATCCCTTCCTTTAAACTCTGATGAAAATGTGCAAGTTTTGTGAACAGACACCACCGTTTATGACACAAACAACATCAACAGACTTTTACATTCTACCTCACCTTTTCTCTGTTTCAGTTACGATTCTAAACTTTATTAGGCACAAATACACTTTCTATATATTCTCCATTACTGATAAAACTCCAACTACTTCTGTTTCAGCGGGGTGTGGGAGAGAAACTCCCTCTGGAAGGAACTATGATTTTAGCCTTTGCAGACCCTTAACATGCACACAAACCAATATAACAAACTACAGGAAAGGGAACACCCCCAAAGAGGGATAGGGTCTCTTTAACTTCAATGTGTGCACACACAAATATATATGTATTTGTAAACCTAAAAAAAAAACATTTGTAAAAAACTGATTTAGGGTTTTTAGCTATCGGGAACACCCAGACTGGAAACATTTAACATGTTAGGGTGAATAATAATAATAAGGGTAAGATGTCTATCAAAGCTGAGGAAATTACCCAGCAACATGTTTTCTGTGAACAATCGAACATTATAATTCCCTATCCCAAACTAAGCATGCCGTCAGCAGAGCAGAGCGAGCATTTGCATTTTAAAATACAGTTTGACAGGAGTCTGGTCTTATACGAGTTAGCAACAGAATACCAAAGTTCATATTATCATGAGTGCTGGTGCTTGGACTCACACAGTGAGCGGCTGCTTCCATTTGGGGCTGTGGGTGTTGTTGCATTTCTCAGTTTTCTTGGACTGGCCGTCGACTGTCACTTCCACATAGGGACTGGGGCCGAACCAGTTTTTCTTGTTCTCTTTTAGCTTTGCAGATAGCACTGAAAAAGGCAGAAGGAAGAGTGCAGCGGAAAGTTAGTCATGGTGGTGAAGAAAAAGAAAAGATCATTCGGGAACAGCACACATTTTAATACTGAAAAAGCAGAACAAGGGACAATAAAATCTGGATTTGACCAGTGAGCAGTATACTGAGCTGGTGAGGCAGGAGCTTAGGCAATGTAGTAACGAACAAACCACAGATCATTTTGTGTTAATCACAAAAATAATCTTTGATTAAACAGAAGATCAAAATACTAGTATTTACCTGTATTTTGGGTGAGATAAAACAAATACACGGGGTGTGGGTTTTTTTGCGACACAAATATCAACAAAGCCCCTGTCACAGAGAGCCGCTGTGATTCCCCTCTGTATATTGTGCACCACACACACACACATGCTCGTATTGTTGCTGCCACTGTCATATTGGGACCATTTGTTTCTTTCTACACTAATGACTGACCGCAATTTCCCAATCCTTTGCAATTTCAAAATAAGGGCTGACGCATGATTTGGCAAAATGTCTCTCGTCCATTTTCACCACACCCAAAGCAAACGAGTGCCGTTACACCCTGGTTCTCACTGATGTCCAGTGTTCTCCAGTCAGTGTCATACATGTAGCTTTTGCTAAATCTTTGCATTTTCACTGCCATGTAATACATGGTACAAATCCTCGCTGGAATTACGGGAGGAAGTCAGCCTCAAACCTAATGTGATAAATGTGCGTACATTTTCTTTTGGACACATTGAGGTCTTCAGATCAATTGCAACCGTAAATGTGTAGACGATAACACGTTCATGTTGACAGCGCTAATTTAAAAGAAATAGAGCTAAGAAGACAGGCCTTGTGTTAGTTCTCACAACAGGCCTTTATCAAAGCAGACATGTTGACATTTCAGGACAAGCACAAGTGTTACTAAAGATGGCTCCGTCACATTAAGGCCCTGACACACCAAGCCAATTATAGAATGTTGATCAAGTTGGAGGATTTGATGATGGCAATGTTTTTGCAGTGTGTCCATTACATTATATTTTATTTTAAGTGACACTTTTATTTTGTGTGACTCACAAAGACTTCTTCAAAGATCACACTGTTAGACACGCCTACGGGAACCATTTGGGATTGAGTATCTTGCTTTAGGACACATATGTGTTGAGTGCATGGGAGGGGGGGTCAAACCACCATTGCTCTAATTGGTGGCCAAACATTTACTCCGTAAGCTATAGCAGGCTGACACGGCAAAATGCATCACTCTGATTGGCTGTTCCGCTCAAGTGAAATGCACACAGGAGGAGAAACAAAAGCAGGGACTACAAAGACTGAAGTCAAAAGGGCAAACACAGAGTCCCTTTCCATTATCCATCTTCATCTCATCTGATCATTCTAATACAATCATATTTTCACAATACCATTGACGTCTAGAATGAAAGTAAATGGTGGCTGCTTTGGTTCAAGGTTTGTATCAAAGCATCGGCTTGTATTTCTGCAGAACGGATTCCAGTTTCTATCGATGTTAGTTTGGTGTGTCAGGGCCTTTGCATGTCCCTGTAAGCTGTGACAGTGAGCCAGCATGCACTGAAGCAGGACCCTGAAACTGAAGCAGCTCAAAGGAATACAGCCAGCCTTGATTGTAGTAGTAGCACCTGTGCTTTTCTTTTTTTATTGAGGGCTTTTATTATCTTTTGACAGAAAAAGTCAAATAGGAATGGGAAAATGGGAAAGGTACGTGCAGTCGTGCACCGTTTAGAAAATGTGTTGATTTGGACAAAGACTTACCAACGATTTGTAGCTGTGCCTTCATAGGGTGACCGTTGGAAGGGCCCGGCTTGGTGACTCCACTTGCCATGACATAGGGGCTGGGCTGGAGGCCTGCAGCACAGAAAACACATCATTAGAGTGGAGACTTATCACTTTCACACTGCTGCCACACATGACGTCATTAAACTAAAGCCCATAATATGCAAGACTTGCAACGATGACACTTCTAAGTTTCAACAAGTTAATAAAGACATCCCAACAGTAATTATTTAAGACTTTATGTTTCACCAACTACACCAGCTTACTCCTGCTTATAGAAATAAGTATACATAACATTGCTTTAATTCAACATAATATCGGAACAATTTGGGAAAACCTTTGGAAATGTATCGACTGAACTTGATTGTTTTTGTATTTATGTATTGTTTGCGTTTTTCCTTTCCTTTAGTTTTGTTATTGTAGAACTTCTAAAACAGTTTGCTTGTACTAAATGGAGAATATGTACATCGAAAAAGATTTGTATTAGCTGTTGTGTTATTGGCACATTGTTAATATAAACTTATTTGAGTGGTGTGTGTAGTGTTTGGGTGGGGGAGGGGGTTATGTTTTTTTCTGTATGATTTATGGGTGGAAGAAATTATAAAAGTGATTAATTATGATAACCATCCAGTTTTCAACTAAGTATTAAAACCAAGTGTTGTTCAAAATGAATTAACATGATTACACTGCTTAGATGAATACTAGATTCTGATTGGTCATTTTGGACATTTCAGAGGTTGTTCATATTTGCTAACAGACCAATGCTAAGCATAACATGGCCGTTGCTTAGGAGGATTGAGGATCTATGTGCAGTCACATCAATCCTCAGAAATAAGACTAATTGATTTCACATCAGCTGTGGACAATAATCATTAGTTCTCTCCATCAGAAAACATTATGGAATACTTTTTGAACATTCACTTTTATGTTTGTGGAGAGCACGGAACATTGGATTCATGATGGCTAAACCGTCCCCAGTAAAGAATAGAAAAACAGCGCCAGAGAAGGAAAGAGGATAAAAGACAGAGCACTGGACGTCAAAGGAATCCGCAGAAGAAGACAGACAGACAGGAAGTAACAGTTAAAAACCTGTAAATAAATATAAAATGTGAACAGACTTGGACAGTTACAGAAAACCTTGATCAGTGCTGCCGTTGTTTGGAGTCAAGTTGCTGTTGCCGAGGTTGACACCATTGGTGCGCATGGGATCGGACTATGTTTTTCTTAGCGGATGCAATACAATCACTTTCAAATCAATTACATTATTTTGTATCAATATTGTGAGTCAAGTCGTTTATTTAGTAGTGGCCTAAGCAGGATCATTTCATGCACATTATCCCTTACTTAACAAACACCCGGAAAGCAAGTTATGATGTATACAACTATACATTGTTGCTAACGAGAGAAACACAATTATGTTCTTCCTGTTGCCTCGAAATGACCTCATGTGCACATCCATAACAGTACGTGCCCCTGTTTTGCCTGTAGCCATATTACATTACATATCATTTCCGTCTGCTGCTGCTCAGAGTAGGAACTAGCCATAAAATATAATCAAGCATATCTGCCCGAGCCACAATCATTTTTAATTGGCCCTGTTTACTGTATCTTTCTGACATGTAACTCTCCTCTTTCTACTTCCCCTGGGACCAAAGTGTCCTCCGAATGCATTTAGTGACATCACAGATGTGAACATTGCACCATCATTGAAGGTAATAAAAAGATACTAAAAGGAAGACAAAGGTCAGGCCTGCAGTCTGTGAAATACTGCCTGTATACAACTTTCTGCAGTGCAGCTTCCACATTGAAGAATACAGCTTGTGCCGAGGCTCCTGCTCTGAGCCTGAGAGCCAGATACACCTGACTGCAAATAGAGCCACAACACTACACATCCTTAAACAACCACATGTATAAGGGTTATACCTACAAGCGGCTCTGATAAATACATGTATCCATCATTATCTAGGTATACGAGGTTACAACAGGGCTGGAGCAGATACAGTTTTCCCTCAAAAATAATATATCTTCTACTCCTACTCTTCCTACGTTTTCCTGCCTCTTAGCAACACCCTATAAACAAGACTACCAATTAGTTGATATGATGTCCTAACCGAATAAATACCACTAGAGATGCAACATTAGTTGACGAATAAATTAGTCAAACAGAACAATGATTCCAAACTATTTTGTTAATTTATCAATTCAGAACAAATAACTAGTTGCCATTACTTTGACTGATATTGGAATTGAGATTTGATTAAAATATTGGCAGGTTTAAAATCTTGCATCGTGATTGTCATTGAAAAATATATGAAATGATGATTGGATTTTTTTAGGATGATCTGTACCAAACCAATCTGTTTGGTTAAGTTGAATATGACGTGAAGGTTGTGATATCTAGGCAGCTCCACAATACTTTAAACACATATTTAATAGATATGCAGCCTTTAAAGGGGCCCTATTATGATCAATCACAACAGAGCTGGCCAGCTAACCAATCAGAGCAGAATGGGCTCGGTTTCAGACAGAGGGTGAAAAGAGGTGCTGCAGCACAGGCAGTACGAGAAAAATAAAGAACCTTTTGAACATTAAAGCATCTAAACATGTCACAGTAGAGACACAACATACTAATATGAACCTGAACATTCACATAATAGGACCCCTTTCAAAAAAATACTGTACTTCCTGACATTTTAATATTGTGAGTTAGAAAACATTTAGATGAATTGTGTAGCCCTCAAAGTAATTTTTCGATAAGATTTTAAGACTTCAACTTGGACTCTGGAGTCAGGGATGAACATTTTGTTATCATGTTGTGACATTTTAAATACCAAATGATCTAGAAGATAATATAACAGGTTAAATGGTCATTAAAAGAGTGTTAAGGTGCAGCATTACTAAACACATAGAAACACTTACATCTGTAGATGTTGTCTTATGCTTCACTGATGAATTCTTCAAAATAATACTTTTTTAGAAACATGGTTGTAAACTGGCAGCTAGAAAGAAGCCTTAAGGGGCTGACACCAACACCTGATGTTTATGCTTTCAGTTTAATAACGCTGAAACATAATTCACTGTAATGGAAAGGTCATAAAAACAAACACTCACAGCAGAGCTAATTTGGAGAGTAATTTCATAAAAAGTAACCACCAGTCATTTAATGTCTGTTTCACAGTGAACAGATATGACCTCTGGAGCTCCTGCACCAGTGACAGATATGTCACTCAAAAAGAGAACGTTCAAAGGATCACTGGCAGAACAATCCTGTGATCTTTCCTCGAACCTGGTTCCGTGCATCACTGAATAATTATCCTCAGTCTAACTTTTTCCAGCATGCACAAGGCAGGGCAGAAAGAAGTGAGGAGCTCCTGGGTAAACCTTCACTTTGGCTACTGCTTTAGTTTCTGTCAATAATTCATAGCAACCGCTGACTTTGCAGCCTCGCCATCAGGCTGTCTGCAGTTTCTAGATGAGGGTATTCTCTGAATATTAAACTCCTCATTGACCTGCTTTGACTTTGACTTTTTTTAACCAGCTTAATAACATCCATCCACAGGCCAGTCAATTTTAATTGTTGGTTCTATGAGGCATGTTAAATTGAATTTGAGCGTACATTTCCACATTTTCTAGGCTGCGTATCGTCTTCTTTAACTGGTTAACTCATTAACTGTTAACACCATGACTCAAAGACGCAGCGATAGTGCAGGGTGCCAAAACATACTGTCATGGAGACTACATTTATCATAACAAGAGACAAACCGGTTGTTCTATTGTGATGCTTAAAGGAAACAGCATACAAGAGTCTGCTCTGGTGTGAATCACTGTTCATACGGTCATTCCTGGTTTCCTCTTTTGAAGTACACAACAATAGCATCTCCTGTATTTCTTGAATGACTGAACACTTGATCAAATCCTGAAGGAGTTCTCAAACATGACTTCTGTCATTCAGGTCAGGAGATGGATTATTGATGGATTATTAATAGCCAAAACATTTCAGGAGGGACACCCAGGAAACAGAAACCAGCCTCCCTTCATGACTAAACATTTGCCTGTAAATAACAACCGTCATTGAAGAGTACCTAACAACTCTCCAAGTTGCTGACGCATAATAACTGTGACAATAAAACCTCTGTCTCTTCCCTTATTTGTTTATCGGTTGCTCCTATATTAATACATGTATCCAAGGAGATACAACTCTGCATGGAGAATTGGTTGTGGTGGGGGACGCTGTTTAGGAAATAGCTGAACAGCCATTTGTTAGAGATTCAACAATTGTGCTTACATCAGCTAAATATGTATTGCATGCTTGAAGACGTTAAACATAAATGAAAATGATTATGAAGAAATGGGTAGTTTGGTTTCATTAAAAAAAAGACAACATTTGAACTTAAATAACTTTGATAGATTTGAGCAAAATTGTTTAAATTGTTGAACAAATTGTGGAGCTTATTTCCAAGGCTAGGAAGACATACAGTATCTGTATGCTTCATAATAGTTTTGTCTAAAGTGATATACCACTGGCCACTTTGTGTATTGTATATGTATGATTCTGTTGCAAATCAACGTCATTTATAATAAAACAGAACATACATGAGGGTTGAAACTGTAATGTAGTTTCAGTTAGCTTAGCAGCTTGACATGGATGTGATATTATGTCGTATTGAGGAGTGGCCCCTAAATGTATTTTGTGTACTACAAAGAATATACTTTTACCGAAGAGCGCGACAAAGCCAAACTAGCAAATGTCCGTTTAAATTGGATTAGTCGTGCTGTTTTGCTACATATACGAACAAGTAGCTAGGGGAAAACAACTGCCATACCGTTAAGTCCGTCTTACCAGTAGCTAGCAGGTGCGCTAATTATTGACAGCGTTTTATAATCATTATACCTCATACGCACATTTCCTTTTTGGCAGGCTCCACTTATTTACGCTTGGTAAAGGTTACATAATTTAATCCAAATAGGATTGGATAAGGAGCTAACGCAACTCAGTTAGCCGTACAGAGACGAACAGTATGTACAGGTTAGCTAACAGACTGCACTTAGGTTCAACAGTGTGTGTATTTGCTGTGGCAGTGTGCTGTCAGGAGTTGCTGGGTACATGTTGAATGTCAGCTGGTCACCAGCTCTGACAGCCTGCTGCCATCACAGCCGGGCTAGCTGCTAGCTACTAGCTCGTGTCATCATAATGGCTGGCTGGAAATCCCAAAGTTCACCGGCTATGGTAAAGAAATAGCAACGCTGATAGATAATTCGTAGTAACTTACCCTATTTTAAAGTATATAAACCCAAACTGGTAACGCTGCAGTGAACTCCTAGCCCTCGGTGTTTAGGATTCAGTCGGAGCTTCACTTCAAGGAAGAAGAAACTTCCACCATCTTCGTAAGCTCGCGTCACGTGATCGAAACAAGGTGGGGCGCATGGTTCTCCCCCTCTGGAATGTGATTGGACCAGAGTTGGAGCAGGATTGACCAATGAAGGGCCCGTAAACATGCTGATGCGTCTAGGTCCTTGTTGCGACTTCATGAAATACTGTAGTTTTGAAAAACTGAATGGCTTGGCATCAAACTGTGTAATTGAAGTGTTTTTCGTTGTATTGTTCAATGAAAAGGAAATAATAGACAGTATTAAATTGAGTATTTGTTGTCTGAAGCAGGCTTAAACATAAATACAAGGACATCAGTACATAGAATGAAATATTGCTGATCAAAATGTCACACATCTTAAATAACAATTTAGAAATACAGGTTTTTGCATTGCCTGACTTCTATAATGTTCCACTCCATGTTAAGACCTATTGGAATTACATAAACGAATCATTAAAACTGCAGAAACATCTTTGTGTCCTGCTGCTGTGATGCATTATTGTTTATATCTAGCTGGGATAGACACACAGGCAGGCCATGGTCCTCTAAAGTTCAACAAGACATTCTTGCCAACCTAGGTAAGAAAAGCAAAGAATAACAAATATGCGCCTATTTCTTGTCGAGATACACCTTTGTGACCTGATACATACAGTAGCAGCAACTTTATGTTAAAACATTTCCCAGCAGCACGTAAAGACATAATTAATTAAAATAAACCAGTATCATTTAGGAATATCAGACTCGTTTTATACTAACTTTTACCTAATGTTAAAGGAATTACTTATTATTTTCTCCTGCTTCTAAATGTTGATTTTTGCTGTATTTGTAGACACTGCAGTAAAACTGTCACAGACTGAAAACAGCAGAGGGCATTGTTGTACTCTTCAGCCAAATGACTATGTTGCAGACACAGACCATAATTTTATTTAATCAATATTGTATCGTTAATAAGGACATTGAAAGCTTTCTAAATAATTGAATGATAAAGCATTTTCCCTGTTTTGTTTTTTTGTAACCAATATCAAATTATATGAAATTACAATGGATTGAAAACATAGGGGAGGTGAATGAAATATTTTCAGCACATAATATCTGTGTAATCTTTAAACATCTTAAACAGCAGCCTTTAAATTATTATAATCAAAGCCTTTTTGCAATGTGAGACCCACAGAGAGAATCTGAGTGATACCGGAAGTTGTACTTTACCGTCAAAATAAAAGGCTAGAAATGTGTCACTGGGGAAAGATGTAAAATTAAATATAGTACATTTAGAAAGCATTGTCAATTGATTTCTCTATTTCATAATTTCCTTTTTTATTATTTTTCTTTCTTTCCCTCAACAGTTGATCGTGAATCCAATTCATGCTGATATCAGTATGTTCATATATGAGGTAGAAAATATCTTATTAAGCTTTTAACTCTTAACCATGCTCCTAAATTTAAATATCAATAAATAAAGGGATATTTATTAAATGTATTTTTAAACTAGTGCATACACTTTATCTTAGAAAATACTGCATTTTTCACAAAGCAATTTTGGGCAGTTTTGCCACCTTGATTGTGTTTTTTGTGGCTGTTAGTTTGCCCCCATTTATTTCCAACACTTCTCCTATATTTGTCCCGGTAAATGTTTTATTTTGAAAGTGCGAACAGGAACTACGCATGCTGCTGCTCACAACTTGACGCCTGCAGCTCAGTGGTCGGGGTTGGTCAGTATTGTCAGAAGGGCAGCATGAGACCCCTCTCTGCACGGATCATGCAAACATGGGAATATTTGGATAAGACCGTTTGACAGCTCTCTCACACAACAGGTAGGCATCAAGTCTCTGTTTTCCACTGAGAAGCCACACACTTGGAGAAGCAGGCGTCACTTATTGCACTGGTTTTATTTGGCGTCACTTGAATGTGGTCGCGTGAAATGTGTCCATACAAGTCAGGATGTGATGTTTTACCCTCGTGAAAAAGAACTACGGCTATTGCATAAATCAATATACTAATAGAACATTATCACTTAACTTTTATATCCAAAGAAACTGACTTTTGTTTCGGTATCAACTGTAAGTGCAAAGTGCAATTACTCTATACATTTATAATTGAGAGCCATGGAAATAATGCAAGTTCTGATAGGAATATTGTGGTATTTATTTCAGAATTTGCATTAAAAAAAGCCATTGACTGACAAAGAGGCAGTAAATGTTCTCATTGTAAACTGTTAAATAGCCATTGAATGGCATAGAGACAGTAAAGGTCCGTATAGTAGGCCTAATCTGTGTTTTCTGCACAGGGTCGTAAAGTGTATCATTGAGGATGAATGCAGATTGAGGGAAGGTCACACCCTGAGTTGGCTCATTGCCTGCTTCTACAGTTGCAATTCTAAGTACCATATAAATAGAAATGGAATAGAGTTGAATAGAGAGTCGCTGTGATTATCTCCACAAATATGAAACACAACAGATGGTCCATGAGTCCTTCCTTGGTCAATATAATGGAGCATATACAGTGGGTAAAAAAACAGAGGTAAAAGTGAATTGCATGACAGTAAAGATGGGCATTATTGCAGTGATTCAGTCATTAACTGGAAGCCGGAGTTTGTCCTGTCATTAGCAGAGCGCTGAGACCCAATTAAGATAGACAACAGATGTTACATTACATTATTACATTACATGTCACTTGTTAGACGCTTTTATCCAAAGCGACTTACATACTCAATACTGTGGACAGTCCCCACAGGAGCAATTTGGGGTGAAGTGTCTTGCCCAGGCATGACGTGCTGACTGCAGTGGGGTTTGAACCTGTGCTCCCCTGATCCGATCACCAACGCACTAACCCACTGCGCCACACGCCTCCCAAGATGTCCCAGATGTTATTGTTTGAGCTTCACAAAAAGGGGCCACTTGTGAAAATGTATGAGTCGTGACAGAGTCAAATTGAGAACCAAGAGAGAATCATGTACAAGTTCTGACTTTCGTCTCAGAGATTAAATAATTATGAGGGTTAAATTCATTTGTGGGAATTAAATCTGAGAGAAAATTCAGAAATTTGAGATAAAATCCCCCAAAATTCAGGTTAAAATCTAAATCATAGGGGTAAAGCCTTTATATCGGGAGTCAGACCTAAAATACGTTTTTTAAAGACATTTAAAATAACTTTTGACATTTATCTCAGGATTTACATTCTTTTTCTCAGATGTCTGACTCAAATGTGGCCCTAGTCGTCCTCTGTAGAGCTTTTGTGTATCCTGAGGATATACTAATACATAAAACCTTAATATTAATGATTCAGGGCTTCAGATTTCATTGAATCCATTTCAATTTCATAAACAATCAAAAAGACTCTTGAACACGTCTAATTTACGAACCAACTACTAAACTGAATTGTGCAAATTAAACACTGGATGCTGGTTACTAAATATATTTTTTAACACAAAGTCTGCTTTCCAAACACCAACAAAAAGTGAAACAACATGGCAGCTTAAAAACATACAGCTACTATGAACCTGCTTCCTGCAGGTGGGATACATTGACAAGTGCTTTGTTTCATTCTCTCCAAATTTGCATTTCTCCGGGCTGATTTTCATTCCGTTTACATGTACATTAGCATTCACCATTAAAACCCTTTAACTGCCAGACCAAGAAAAAAGCTATGGACATTTTTTTGTTGTTGCATTTTCTTATCAAATGGGCCACAAATAAGCACAAACAATTTTATTTTTTTTGACTGACCCCACAGTTTTGTTTTTATGAGCCTCTACCAACTGGTCGAGCTGGCCTTCTATGGTAAAAGTACATTTTCAAGAATCATCATATACAGTACAGTATTTGTATGCATCAAACTAAAATAAAACACAAACTTAAATACATTTGTTTCTTTTATGGAAAATGAGCAATATATACAACCAGATATGCAGAAACTCTCCTCTCTACTCTCTCATCCACTCTGGACTCGCTCTGTCCTCTCACATCTCGGCAGGCTCGTCAGTCCCCTCCTGCTCCCTGGCTAAATGATGCACTGCGTGCTAATAGAACCGTCCTTAGGGCAGCAGAGCGGAAATGGTGGAAATCCAAACACCGTGACGACCTCCTAACCTATCAGGCTCTCCTCTCCTCTTTCTCTGCTTCGATCTCTCAGGCAAAAAGCACTTTCTTTCAAGATAAGATCCAATCTTCCTATTCCAATCCTAAAAAACTATTTTCCATCTTCTCCACCCTCTTGGACCCTCCAAAAGCTCCTCCCCCCTCCTCACTTCTGTCAAGCGACTTTGTTACCCACTTTGAAAAAAAGGTTGATGATATTCGCTCTTCTTTTTCTGACTCACCTTTACTCACCGCTGGGTCACCTGACCCTCCTTCCACCAACACACTTGCCTCCTTTTCCCCTCTCTCTCCAAGTGAGGTTCTTACCCTCATTACCTCTGCCCGCCCTACCACCTGTCCTCTGGACCCTATCCCTTCAAACCTCCTTCAGACTATCGCTCCTGATATTCTACCGTTTCTCACCCATTTCATCAACACTTCTCTAACTTCTGGTCACTTTCCAAACAGTCTCAAGGAGGCAAGAGTAAACCCTCTCCTAAAGAAACCCACTCTCAACCCGTCTGATGTTATAAACTACAGGCCTGTCTCTCTCCTCCCGTTCCTGTCTAAATCACTTGAACGCGGTGTCTTTAAACAACTCTCCTGTTATCTCAATCAGAACAACCTTCTGGATCCGCACCAGTCTGGTTTCAAGGCAAGTCACTCCACAGAAACTGCTCTCATTGCTGTCACGGAGGAACTGCACACTGCCAAAACTGCATCCCTCTCCTCTGTCATCATCCTATTGGACCTGTCTGCCGCATTCGACACGGTGAATCATCAGATCCTCCTTCACACTCTCCAAAAACTTGGAGTTTCAGGCTCTGCACTTTCCCTCCTCACCTCATACCTGAAAGACCGTACCTACAGGGTGACTTGGAGAGGGTCTGAGTCCGACCCTTGTCAATTAACTACGGGGGTCCCTCAGGGCTCTGTTCTTGGTCCCCTCCTCTTCTCCGTGTACACAAACTCGCTCGGATCAGTCATTAGCCCGCATGGTTTTTCTTACCACTGCTACGCTGATGACACCCAATTAATTCTGTCCTTTCCCCGCTCAGAGACCCAGGTCGTTGCACGCATCTCTGCTTGTCTAGCTGACATCTCTCAGTGGATGTCTGCTCACCACCTCAAGCTCAACCTTGACAAGACTGAGCTGCTCTTCCTCCCGGGAAAAGATTGTCCCACTCTTGACCTAACAATCAACATCGGCACCTCAGTTGTTTCCCCGACTCAGACTGCAAGGAATCTGGGTGTGACCCTAGATAACAACCTGTCCTTCACTGCAAACATCGCTGCTACAACCCATTGCTGCAGATACACGCTTTACAACATCAGGAAGATACGTCCCCAGCTGACTCAGAAAGCGACTCAGGTTCTGGTCCAGGCTCTCGTCATCTCACGCCTAGACTACTGCAACTCCCTCCTGGCTGGTCTACCTGCATGTGCCATCCGACCTCTGCAGCTCATCCAGAATGCAGCGGCTCGTCTGGTCTTCAACCTTCCTAAATTCTCCCACACCACTCCGCTCCTCCGCTCCCTTCACTGGCTTCCGGTAACTGCTAGAATCCACTTCAAGACACTGGTACTTGCTTACCATGCTGCGAATGGATCTGGCCCTTCCTACATCCAGGACATGGTTAAACCGTACACCCCAGCGCGTACACTACGCTCTGCATCAGCCAAACGACTCGTTGCGCCCTCGCTGCGAGGGGGACCCAAGTTCCCATCAGCAAAAACACGTGGGTTTGCTGTCCTGGCTCCAAGATGGTGGAATGAGCTCCCCATTGACATCAGGACGGCAGATAGCTTGCACATCTTCCGGCGCAAACTGAAAACTCATCTCTTTCGACTCCACTTCGAGCGTTAGAACTATTAACGAAGCACTTTTATACTAATAAAGGACTGGCTTACCTAAAGCCAATGGAGTAGCACTTGAAATGTTTGGCTCTATGAAACCTGATGTACTTATATGATTCTGTTTTCTTCAAGGTTGTGTCTTCCTGGTCGAATGTACTTATTGTAAGTCGCTTTGGATAAAAGCGTCAGCTAAATGCAATGTAATGTAATGTAATATATTCATAAAAGATAATACATTATAATTCTAATTCTAAAAAAAGGAAAAAAGTAATGTAAAGTGTTTTTCATGATAAAAAAAATACTTGCTCATCTTACTGTATATGCTGAATTGGCCTAACAGGAAACCACTGGCCTAACAGCAAATGTCTATATCTTGTGTTGGCCTAACTTGCTCATCTGTGTGCAACTTTGGGCTGAATGCCATGCATGAAAGGTGCTATATCAATTATTATCACTCTTTCACTCTGAGACTCATAAGGCAGGACTAGATTTAGTAATATTACCATGAATCTAGCCATTTATTTACCATATTTTATTGGAAAACATCTCTGAAACTCTGAAAAAGTCATATTGCTAGCTTACCATAAAAGGCCAATTCGACCGATTGGTTGAGCATATTTAAAAAAAAAAATTACACCCTTGTTAAAACTTTTTTTGTGCATCAAGTTATCTAATTATGTTCAGTCAGTGCCCTGCCACTAAAATATGTCAAAAAGGATATGGTTACCTTACAAAAGTTGACCAAAAAGAGTGATTTCTTCAGCAGTGATTTTTAGCATTGCCAACTTCCTCAGTGGAAGCTAGCTGAAGGGCTTTCTGTTTGAACCACAGTGACATCTAGAGGTTGTTTTGTGCATAACATGTCAACCAAAGGGTAGAGC